GGACGGACGGACAGATGAACATATGGACAGATGAGCTGCGTGCACATAGGAGACAGGGGACCTGTATGGCTTCAGGAATTCCCTCCGGCTCTCTGTGTCTGTTTCTGGGTCATGATGGCTCTGCTTTCTAGGCTACAAAGAGTGTCCTGAGTGTCCCCAACAAAGATGTGGTCCACACACAGAACGATGTGGAGAGGCTGGAAATTCGAGAACAAACTAAGAGCAAGTCGGAGGCCAAGTGGAAGTATAAGGTGAGATGTGCATATGTGCATGAGTCAGTTCTATAAGTGTGAGCAGAGATGTGAATATATGAGACCGTATGTGTGTGTGTGTGTGTGTGTGTACACGCATGCGCATGTATGTCCCTGTGCAGGCATATAGGTGGTGCTGTGAGATGCGGTTGTATGGATCTACAGTGAATGTGGCTTCCATTGGTCGGCGTGGATTCAAGAGCTTAAGCATGTTACCCTCTGCATTGATGGCATGTCTCTTCATCATCCCTGGGGCCAGGTGGCATCGATGCAGGTTCTGCAGACCCAGGGGCAGCCATGGGTGCCACGTCCATGGCGTGCAGCAGCTCCCTGAGCACCCATGGCTGCCCTGGTGGTCATCAGAGCTGTGGGCGAATTTCCCTCAGGATGTTCCCAACCACAGCCTCTGCCCACTGATGTCAGCTGGTGGCTTGGTGCCTCCACTCCCATGTGGAGCTCAGGGATGGTCCTGGTCTTACTTTCCAGAACAGCAAACCTGACTCCCTGCTGAAGATGGAGGAGGAGCAGAAGCTGGAGAAGTCACCCTTGGCTGGAAACAAGGACAGCAAGTTTTCTTTCTCCTTCTCCAACAAGAAGCTCCTCAGGTATGTGTGTGCTGGATGGGAGGGGACCATGCACCCTGTGTCACACACACCACACACAGACCATGCATACCACACCACAAGCAACACATGGAGATCATACACCCCATGTCACACACACCATACATAAACCACACACACTGCATCACACACCCTGCATCATGCACCCTATATTACACACAACACACACAGACCACACACCCTGCATCACACATGCCACATCACATGAACTGCATCACACACTACACACCCTATGTCACACATACCACATCATACAAACATATGTACCATACACAGACCATATGCACTGTATCACACACCCCACATCACACATACCATATCACACTCACCACATCACATGCACCATACGCAGACCACACACACCATATCACACACCCCACATCACACATACCATATCATGTACACCACACACAGACCTCACACCTCACATCACATACTACATCAAATGCACATCACATGCACCACATGTAGATCACACACATCATGTCACACACACCAAATCACACACACCATGTCACATGTACCATATGCAGACCACATGCACCACAACACATATCCTGCATCACACATACCACATCACACACACCACATCATATGCGCTACACACAGTCTACACACCCATCACACACACCACATCAAACACACCAAATCAGATGCACCACACAGACCACACATACCATATCACACACAGTATATCACATGCACCACATACAGACCACACACACCACATCACACATCCTACATCACATGCACCACATCATATGTACCACATAGACCACATGCACCACATCACATGCATGATCATGCACAGTGTCATGCACACATATCACATGTACCATATGCAGACCACACATACTGCATCACACACACTTCACATGTATCACACACAGACTATACACACAGCATCACATGCAGTACATCACACACATCACATGCAGACCATACGCACTACATCACACACACCACACACAGACTATACACGCCTCATCACACACACGACATCACATGCACCACACATGGACCATACAACCTATGTCACACACACTACATCATATGCCATATACCACATCACACACACACCACACACACCACAGATAGACCACACACACCGTGTCACAGAACCACATTACATGCACCACATGTAGACCACACATGCTACATCACATACAACACATCAGACACACCACACACAGACCATACACATGTCACACACCCACACGCAGGCCACACACATATCACATGTACTACATGCAGACCATACGCACCACATCACACACACTGCATCACACACACTGCATCACATGCAGCACATGCAGACCACACACAGCACATCACACATATTACATCTATCACACACACACCATATCACACACGTTACATGCACCACACACACACATATCACACACATTACATGCACCATACACACACATCACACACCACATACATACCACATATATCACATACACCACACGCAGACCACACACACTACATCACACACATCACATGCACCACACACACGTCACGTATACCACACACACCACATCACACACCACATGTACCTCACATTACACACCACACACACATCACACATACCACACTCACATCTCATACACCACACACACATCACACACCACAGGCACCTCACATCACACACACACCACATCACATATACCACACATACACCAAATACACATCACAAACACCACATGCACACATCACACACACCACACACACCCTGCATCACACACACCACACACGCATTACATCCCATGCACCCCATATCATACATGCATACACCCCTAACACATAGGTTGCACACTCACCTCATATCACATACCAAACACCCTGCATCACACACACCACATGCACACCTCACATCACATACACCTCACACCCACAGACACACACACACACACACACACATACACACACACACACACACACACACGCCACACAGTCGGGCTTCTGGTCTAGGCCTCTCTCACTTGGAACTGTTGACCGTACCAGCAGCAGCTCTGTTCCCAGAATACCTTCATCGGGCCCTGACCCCAAGAGAGCCTCGTCCCTGCCCCCAACCACATGCATCCGCATGCTGGGCAGCCATTGGAGGTGGGCTGGAGGGTACAGCTAGTGGGTGCCTGCAGTGAGGATGAGCCCCAAGCAGGGAGAGAACACATGACTCTTTGGGTGTCAGATGTGTGGCTACTGTGGACGGCACTGAGGTTGTGGTCTGGGACAGGGTCCTGGCCTTGGGGCCCAGGGGCCCATGGGGAAAAGCCAGTGTGAACCAAAGCTGGGGCCCAGGGTGTCAAGGCCTTTGCCCATCTGGGAGTCAGGAGGACTCCCTGGAGGAGGTGGCACTGAAAGAGATAGGTGTGTCTGGAAGGTGTGCACATGCCGGTTGGACCTCACGGGGGTGAGCCACAGCTTCAAGAGCCTTGCTGTTCAGCTGTGACAGCTGGGCCTGTGTGCATTCTCAGCGCACAGGCCATGTTGCCTGCAGAGGCCCAGGCTGGGGCAGAGTCAGACAGCTCCCAGTGTGGGTGGAAGCCACATTTTTGCAGCAGCCACAGACTGTCTTGGCTGGTCTTAGTCACCTCAATGGAGAGATGGGAAAAGAAGGTGCTTTTTCATGTGGTAAAGAAATGGAAGGACTGCTGTGTGCACGTGCATGTTCTGTGGCTCAGCCTGTGAGGCAGTGGGAATGTTGCTGTGTGCACGTGTATATTTGTGCACACAGTGGCTCAGCTTGTGAGGCAGCGAGGCTCCTGTTGTGTGCACACATGTGTATTCTGTGGCTTAGCTGTGAGGCAGCAGGGCCACCACCATGTGCACACACGTGTTCTGTGGTTCAGTCTACAGGACAGCAGGGCCGCTGCCATGTACATACATGTGTGTTCTGTGGCTCAGCCCACAAGGCAGCAGGGCTGCTGCTGTGTGCGCACACATATTTCATGGCTCAGCCCATGAGGCATTGAGGCTGCGGCCATTTGCACACGTGTGTATTCTGTGGCTCAATGGGGCTGCTGCCCTTCACCAGAGTGCTGGAAGCAGCCTTGGCCCTGGTGGTCAATCCAGACATCTGTGCTTCTGCTCACTCAGAATTGGAGCTGTGTCTGTTTGAAGTTCTGGATGTTTTTACCTTGACCAGTTGTCCCTACCATTGAGAGGGAATCCCGTCCTCGAGGGGCCAAGGCCAGAGCTGCTCCCAGATCTAGCGTGTGAGGCTCTTCTGGTCTGGACTTCACCTTCACCTCTGCAGAGAGGCAAGCCACACAGTTACTCCTTAGGCGGGTGTATCCATACTGGCCCTGGCCCTGAGTTTATTTTTCCAAAATAGCTGTGCAGAAAGAGCCAGGAAAGTCAAATCCTGTTCCTGTTACACATGGACACAGCAGGTGCCAAGACCCCGAGCTGGCTGCAGCTGGGCTGGTGCCTGCTCGTATGGTGGCCCTGAGACACCTAGGGGCACTGGCACAAGCACTCAAGCCGCCTAGGGAAGGGCTCTGAGCCGTTCCTTATAAGCTGCATGTCAGGACTGAACCTGCGCACACACCACGGAGGAGGAGGCTGTGGGGTCATAGCGTGTCCCATCCCCATGGACCGAGGGGCCACAGCTCTAGCCTGGCCTCCTGCCACCAGCTGCTTGGGCCCTCCACCCTCCTCCCACCTGAGCCTGAGGCTCCTTGGGTGACAAGGACAGTACCCACCTCTCGGGGCTGCCCTGAGGGAGCCCTGGCAGGATCCTCCGGTGGGGGTCCCGAGGGAGGTTCCTCCCCACCTGCCTGCTGGCTGTGGGGCTGTGTGGACCTGCTGACCCTCTCGCTTCTGCCCTAGCTCCAAGGCTCTCAGGCCCCCGACGAGCCCTGGTGTGTTCGGGGCCTTGCAGAACTTCAAGGAGGACAAACCCAAGCCCGTGCGGGACGAGTATGAGTATGTGTCAGACGACGGAGAGCTCAAGATCGATGAGTTTCCCATCAGGAGGAAGAAAAACACCCCGAAAAGGGACTTGTCCTGTGAGTTGGGAGTGGGTGGGGAAGGTTGTGGGGAGGGGCCATCCCGGCACGAGAGGCCAGTCCGGTCTGCATGGCTGGCTCGGCTGAGGCAGCTGCTGGACCATCTGCTGTGCTTACAGTCCTGTTGGATAAGGAGGTGCTCCCCACGCCCGTCTCGAAGCCAAAGCTGGACGCAGCGGTGCACAAGGTGAGCCACTCCCCAGAACCTGCTCCAGCAATCCTCAAGGCTGTGGCTGGGGGCCTCTGTGGCCTCAGCTCTCCATGGGGTGGTCTCTGAGGGTGTTTCTGCCCTAGGTGGTTCTCAGCCCCGCCCTCTTTCTCAGGCATTGGAAGGCCTCTAATTCCATGCACAGCAGTTGGTTCTGCATGGGCGTGGGAAGAAAGTGTCCCACTGAGCCACCTTCCGGGGTATTGTCTGGGACTGAGTCTTAGGTCCCCGGGGCTGCAGGCACTGCCCTGGCCTCTCTATCCAACCACAGCAGCTTCTCTTTGTGTGTGTCGAATACTAGGGCTTGCTCCCATGCATGAGTGTCTTTGAACCAGTTTCCCTGTAGAAATGGTGCATGGTGTAAAGGACAGTTTGGTCCTCTGTGGTCCTGGAGTCCCGGGAGAGCACTGGTACATGGTCCAATCCCAGCAGTGTTCATTAGAAAGTAAGGACTTTTAAAAACTTTAAGAAACCTGCTTTAGTCCCTGGAGAGAAAGAGGAATACCCTCCTTCCTTCCAAGTCTGCTGTAGTGGCCCCTTCTCTGACTGCTGCTCTGTCCCTCATGCAGCAGAGTGACGACTCCTCAGATGAGGGCTCGCTGCACATCGACACTGACACCAAGCCTGGCCGCAATGCCAAAGTCAAGAAGGAGAGTGGGAGCTCCGCGGCTGGCATCCTTGACCTGCTGCAGGCCAGCGAGGAGGTCGGCGCCCTGGAGTACCATCCCAGCAGGTGGGCTCTGCCATGCCCCATAGCGCCACGGGGTGACCAGGCGAGCGTGTGGCTGGCCCTCTGGTCTGGTGCTGGGAGCCAGGAAGTGCACGCACGACTGGACCCAGTATGAGCTGACCTCTGGGAGTGGACAGGAGGGCGCACAGAGAGGGAGACGCTGGCCCACCCAGCCTGATTTTAGAGAAGTGGCTCCGG